AAAAGCCTGGTGCTGAAATTTACCAGGGTCTAATTTAATTTACCTGCCTTCATTTGTTTTTCACCCTCTGTCTGCATCAGTCAGGGTCCACTGAGGAAACCACACAGTAATTTGAATAAGGAAAGTTTACCATGGAGCAGGGTCTGTCAGTTTCAGCACTATTGATATTTTGGGCTGGATAATTCTGAATTTGGGGGCAATATCCTGCACACTTTAGGATGCTCAGCAATATCCCTGGCCTCTACCCACTAGATGCCAATGGCGCTCTCTCCTCCTTCCCCAGTTGGGATAACTGAAAATGTATCCAGACATTGCCAATAATGTCCCTTGGTCTGCAAAATGGCCCCATGCTTGAGAACCACTGCTAAAAGAATTATTACCCATATCAGAGATCTAGAAAGGAGTAAAGCGAACTAACTCTGAAGAATACCTAGGGCAGAGGGAGAGTATGAAGGAAGGGCTATGCTGAGAAGGGGACCCCCTCTGCAAGCTGGGGTTCAGGCTGCGTTAAAGAAGGTGTGGCTGCAGTCAAAGTATGGGAACATTGTGTGGGTTGCCCTGGGCCAGGGCTGGTGTCCAGTTGCTAGGCAAGCCAGAAACAACCAGAGGGGAGGCGGAGCCAACAAGCCCGAAGCACCCCTCCCTTCAGGGTACAGGTGGACTGAAGTGAGGAGCTGACTGCTGGATGCCTGTGACTCACTGAAAACCCATCTTGGAGATGTTGCTGAAAATAGATGGGGATGAGGGCCACTGGCTGTCCCACAACACACTGCTGACAGCAGCTCTAGGTTGGAGCCAGAGGAAGCAAATGAAAAAGCGTTGGAACTGAAGGAGAAGTCCCCTCTTCCTGCAGTGTCTGTCCAGCGCCCTCTACTGACAAAATATAGCATCAGGCCATCTTCAGAAGAAATATTTTCAGAGCCTGCGATGAAAGATGTTTTTGGAGCTGAAAGGCAATAAAGTAGTAGCTGGCATAATTTTGCATTATACCCTCCCCTTATCATTTCTGTACCATTCTACTTGGCACACCTGGCACTTAGTAGATACAAAATTAATGTTGACTGAATAATTGAAAGAATGTGTGAATGACAGGGTTTGATTTTTTTTTTTCTGGCGGCTGTTTTGGAGAATGCAACTTACCACTGATTTAAAATTTATCTACAGAATAGCAAATGGCAGTTTTTAGTCCCTCCAACCCCACTTTTCTACTGCATTTAAATTTAATTGAATTATCTCGTTATATCTTCCCAACTCGCATATAACTGATCAAGTTGATAAAAATCTATTAAAGGATTGAACAATTCAATAGAAGAAATTAATTGAGCTAATTTGAATTGATCAGTTGTTGATTAAACTCCCCTGTTGAGCATTGATCTGATAGCTGAGAAAATACAAGACTAGTATCTGTTTCTAAGATCAGAATATTAACCAAAATATTGTTGCAGTGAACTAAGTCCAACTAAATTGTTGCCCAGAGGCTAAGAACATTAATAGAAAAATCAGAATTAATTTTGACCTAGGTGTCAAATGGTTACTGGCTGATTGCAGCGTGGTAAGTTAGTAACCCGGGACTAAGTTACACTGTCAGTGAACATGAGAAGGCACGATGAGAAGAAAATTAGACTGGGATTGAGTAAAAGTTTTTGGTGGGCTGCCTATTAATGCAGACAAACTCTTGCCCTTCCTGGGCCTCCCTCTCCTCTGGAATTAAAGAACAACCACACCTTTTGCTTTGGGGAAGAGGAAACAATATGAATGTAAAAGCATTTTGGAAATTGGTACCACCCACGTGTGAGGCTCTGCATATTAGTTCAAAGTTACAAAATGGTCATTTGGGGACTGTTTCAATTTTCTTAGGTTTCTAGAAGTGCACCTGTTTCTTAGGTTTCTGAGTGCACCTGAAGTGCTGAGAATGTGCTTGTATTTTCTAATGTAAGGCAGACCCAGTGGATTTTTGGATTTAGGGTCATACACATCGCATCTCCCTCAAGAATCTCAGGGCCTTTGCACATGCAGATAGATCCCCCTGCCTGGAGTTCTTTCATCTCCTGGTTGCCTCCATAACGCCTCCTTATGCTATTGGCTCCATCATCCTCACCTCCTGAACTGCTTAACTCTCCCTATTACATGCACTTCCGTACCACATCTCCCCTATGTAGTCCTTATCACTATGGGTATTTTACGTTTTTATTGTGATTATTCTAATGCCTGGCTCTCCAGCGAGGCTATAAGCTCCGTGAAGGCTAGGGAGCTTCTGCTCTCACCCAACATGACATTTTCAGTAGGTATTTAAGAGCTGTTTATTGAATGAATGAATGAGTGAACGAACGAATGAATGAATGAATGAATGAAGCAATGAACATACCATCCAGAGTTGACTAGAGCCTACTCAGTTTTGATGTGTTGGCCACGTTTTGATTTGGAAAGAAATGGTGCTGCTTGGCTTCCTGGGCTGCAGATAGGCGTGGTCAACTGGCGTGTCCTCAGCACCCAGCACAATCTCTGGCATAGAGCAGGAGCTCAGTAAATGTTTCGTGAATGAGTTACCTTTAGAGCCAGAAGTTTGGGGCTTAAGTTTTGTCTGTAAAATGTATAGGCTTAGCAAACTTGGTGGAGATATTTAACCCTCTACACAATACCGTGAAAACAGGCTCAGAGGCCAGCATGCTGGATCCAAATCTCCATTTACTAGATGTTTGACAAGACACTTAACATCACTGCGCACAAGTCTGCTTATATACAAAAATGAGGGTGGTATCAACATCCTGAGATGATTTCAAGTACTATATGAGAAAAACTATTCCAAAGGCCTTGCCTAATACAGCACATATTAGGTATCAGTAAATGAGTCCTTTCCCCTCTCTCAGTCTCCATAATGTGAAAATAACATCCCCTACTTCAGAATCATTGCTTCTCAAATAAGATCGTATACGTCAAACCCTTTAACCCCGGGTCCAAGATTCATTTTCCTTCATTTCTACTTTGCATCGAGAAATATATGTGCAGAATCTCCACTAGCCACCAGATGGCAGTGTGGTAATAGCTTTGATTTCAAGGTTTTAGCTTAACAAAATAGCACCTTTTAAATGGAAGTCTTGAGGTGAGAAAAATGGGTGGCATTTAAGAGGGAAGCATTGCAGGATAATGGAGTAATGTCTGTTGTAAATGATATTTTAATGTCCAAGGTCTTACTCTGGAGAATTAGGAAGGAAAAATTTAAAACATTCCTTTAGATTCTTAATTCGGAAACATAAGAGCCACAAGAACCAGGTAAGTGAGGGATAAAAGCTTTTATTTGCTTTATTACAACATAATTTTATCACAATTTGTAACGTTTCCTCTTGGAGATCCATTTTGTTCCTTCAGGTCTTCTGGTAACTTATACTTATTCCCCCCCCCCTCTTTTTTTAAAAGAAATGCTTAGTGTGGTCGACACATATTTCTTGAGTACCTAATGTGTATCAGGCACTATTCTGGGTGATTGAAATAAAGCTATGAGCAGAGAAGACAAAGCCCCATGTCCTTAAGGGAGTGGGGAGACCCATGATCAACTAGTAACAAAAGATGAACAAGTAAGAGAATTTCAACTGGCTGATGGGATAAAGGATGAGTTAGGCATGTGTGTTAGAGGCGTGCACTTCAGACAGGTGGTCAGGGAAGCCTTTCTAAGGTGTTTGATCTACAGCCTGAGTGATGAGAAGGACCGCAGCAGGCAGATGCCTAGCAGAGCATCCCAGCAGAAGGAAAAGCCAGTGCAGAGGCTGTGACGTGGGGACGAGCTCGCCATGTCCAAGGGAAGCATCTGTGATAAATTAATACTATTCCAATGGTTTATTGCTGTGTAAAAAATTGTCCCCCCCGCTTAAGAGTTTTAAGTGACCTGTTTATTTTGCCGATAGTTCTTCTGGTGTTAGGAACTTGGGAAAGGCTCAGCTGGGCAGTTTGTTTCGATCTACTTTCATCATCAGTGAGGACAGCTGAGGCTGGAAGACCCACCTTCAGGATGGTTCTTCACTCACATGTCGATACCCAGATGCTGCTTGGACTCTCCAGGGTAGAAACTGCCAGTCTTCTTAAAGCCCAGCCAGAAGTTACTCCTGGTCTATCGTCACTTCTGCCCAATTCTACTGTCAGAGAGGCGAGCCCGCTTTCTTCAAGGGGAGCATAAATCTCTCTTTCTTTCTTTCTTTCTTTCTTTCTTTCTTTCTCTCTCTCTCCCTCTCCCTCTCCCTCTCCCTCTCCCTCTCTCTCTCTCTCTCTCTTTCTTTCTTTTCAATAGAAGCCTCCTCTTCTTGCAGTGTCTGTCTAGTGCCCTCTAATGACAACATTTAGCATTGTGCCATCTTCAAAAGAAATATTTTCACAGAGCCAGCAATGAACGATGTTTTTGGAGTTGAAAGGCAATAAATTAATAGCTGGCATACTCTAGTATTGTACCCTCCTCTGAATCATTTCTGTACCATTCTACTTGGCACAGGTCTGGCACGTAGTAGATACAAAATTAATGTTGACTGAATGATTGAAATCATGTATGAATGAATGAATGACGGGGTTTGATTTTAACATTATAACATATAACATTATATTCGTTTTAGGTATACAGCATATTTAGATGTACTGCAAAATGATCACTATAATGAGTTCAGTTAATATCCACACAGTTACAGATTTTTTTTCTCATGATTTTAAGATCTTCTCTTTTAGCAAATTTCAAATATACAATCCAGTATTATTAACTATAGTTACCTATGTAATGCTCTACATTGCATCCTTATGTCTTACTTATTTTATAACTGAAAGTTTGTACCTTTTGCCCCCCTTCACCCATTTCACCACCCACTCCCCACCTCTGGGCAACCTTCAAAGTTTGGTCTCTGTTTCTGTGAGTTAGGATTTTTTTAAAAAAGATTTTGCATGTATCTAAGATCACACAGTATTTATCTTTCTCTGTCTGACTTATTTCACTTCAATGCCCTCCAGGTAACAACCCCACCCGGTGATGGCAGGAGTGTTAAAGAACTTATGGCCATCTTCAGTTGCAGCAGATCCTTAAAAAGTTACCAGAAAGGCTGTGTAACTGGCTGGGGGCCAGATTTCCACAATCCAGCATGACAGATCTGGTCTCTCTGTAGCATGAACAGCGGCCAACGCCTTGGGAATCCACTCTGTCCATTGTCCAGCAGGGGCACTGAGGTAAGTGTATCAGAGATTTCTTGAGTCCTGATTGTGAATCTGTGGATTGGGGGTTGGGATGGAAAACCTGAAACAATGTGCCAGCTTCTCTGTGTGAATTTTCCTGCATGAACTAATTCTGGGATAATCTTAGAGAAATAGGAGCAAAAGGCAACACGTAAGCACAGTTCAGCTACTAAGGGTATTTGGCCTTGAAATAGTCCGTGAAACTGTACCTTTACACTGGTCAACACATGATCTAGCCAGGAGAGTGCTTGATTTACTAGATTTGTCCCCTTAAGAAAGAAATTGAGCCAGTTGAAGGTAGAGTCTTCCTGTGACTGAGTTATAAGAGAAAAGAAGCAAAGGGTGTTGGGATCCTGTATTTCTGCCATCACAGCCCTTGGGTAGAAGGAGAAAGACCAGTGGGAACTGGGAGTTGTCTCTGATAGGCAGGAGATGGGGGAGGAGGAGGGGCTTTGAGGTAAGGATAAAATAAGCTGAGTTGGATAGACTCAAACTGGTTCTGAGTTTGTTTTACATCAGTGTGGCAATTAGTAGTGCAAATCATTTTGAGTAGTGACACATGTCCCAAATCTAATGTTTGCCTGATGATAATAGCTGATCACTCAAGATGCAACCGAACTTAAAAGGGGTTGCTTATTGCTGGAAAAACATCCATAGAATTTACATTCACAGTCCTCCCGTATTTCCCCAGGGGACTCTTCCTTTTAGCACCCTTTGGATGTGTGGAGACTCCAAAATGATCCTGTTAGATGAGCAGCTCATTCTGTCACTAACTGATGTGACAGCCTAAGCAAAGTTTCCCATACATAGTTTCCCATTTCCTGTTCACACTCAGATGACAGTAATAAACCCCTCATTGTTCTATTGTTTCACCTGGAGCAGCATTTTTATTATTCATTATTGGGTTACCTGTTAAAATGGATGGATTTCCCTGAATGAAAATTTTCATGGCAGCCCTAACAATTAAGCGGAAAGTCCCCTTGTGGTCATATTGTATCCAAAATAGGATTTGGTCCTTCAAATCCCACACTCAGATGCTATCTCTATCTACAGACCAATTGTCTGGGTTTAATAAGACATGTTTTTGGAGGGCTTGACTTCAGTGCAAAAATCAATTGAATTAATCACATATCTCTTGGCTCTTAAGTTTTCTATACGTCAGGGGAGAATGCATCCAAGGTTGCTCTTCTGAAATTGGATCTGGGGTTGGTTTTTAGCTCAGCCTGCCTGTGGGACCAAATGGAGTCATCACTATCATTTGCACTGGCTCTTGTCTCTTCTTGCTCATACAAGGTGCTTGGTCCTTATAAGTAGCCCCCAAGCAGTTTACAGGGTCTTGGCAAGTAGCTTTCATGTACACATCAACAAATCTAGTCACTCGTCTGGTCAGGGCTTCCTGGAATTTTGTTTCTTTGTCTGCTACTGTGGTTGCTGATGTGTCCCTGAGGGGCCATGGCCTTTGGCCAGGCCTAGCAGTGCTGTTTCTGCAGCTGTCCCTCTCTTCCTCTGCAGCCAGGCCTGGGGGACTTCCTACCAAACTGGTGCTGGGCTCCTGTGAGGTGAGGAGAAAGCTGCTTTCCTCTTTTGGCATCAGACTTAGCACCTGAGAGGGTGCCACCGCCCTATTGCTTGTGCTGCAAAGTGTTGCCAGAGCGAATGGGCTCGTGCAGTTTTCGTTACAGCTGCCTCTCTTCATGGCGGCCAGCCATGAGCCCACAGGCTGGTTTCAGGGCCAATCAGAGTGAGATGCCTGCTTCTTGTGGACACATCCCTCTTCTCTGACTGCTGGACTTTGGGTCTGCTTCAAACCCCTGTGTCTGGTGTACAGCAAAGAGCAGGGGTCTTAAAGTCAGACAGACGCTAAGTGGGACGAGTTATCAGCTTTGTCACCTACCAGCTGTATGACCTGGGGCGAGTCTCTTAACTTTTCAGAGTCTCAGTTTTCTCATCCTCAAAAGGGAATGATAATGACATAACATACTCAAGAAACTTGGGGCACAAGACCCCAGTTCCTGGCACAGAGCTCCTTAGTGATAGGAATGTCTTTTGAGGTGACTTATGGGAGGGTAGGTCCCTAGGGAGCTTTCGGATGGGAGCTGGTTGCCAGAAAACCAACCAAATAATTAGAGTGGGTACTTTCAACCTCACCCCTTATGTCCAGGGAGGGGAGAAAGGTTGAAGATGCAGTTCAGTTACTAACGGCCAATGATTTAATCATGCCTGCACAATGGAACCTTGATTAATAAACAAACAAGCAAACTCTTGGAATGAGGAGGATTGAGGGGAGCTTCCAAGTTGGTGATCATATTCTCGGTGCTGGGAGAGGGGCACACCCCAACTCCATGGGAAGTCCTGCACCCAGGAGCCTTCCAGACCCCACCCTGCATACCTCTTCATCTGGCTGTTCATCTGTATCCTTGATAATAAACTGTGATGGTAACTGTGAGTATAGCACTTTCCTGAATTCTGTGAGTAGTTCTAACACATTTTTGAACCTAAGGAGGGGTACTGGGAGCCCCTGAAGTTGTGGTCAGCTGGGTAGACGTGAGGGTAGTCTGGGGACCCCATTTGTAGCTGGTGTCTGAAGTGGGGGGCAGTCTTGTGGGACTGAGCCCTTAACCTGTGGGGTCTGCAGGTTAACTCTGGGTAGTTAGTGTCAGAAATGAGTTGAATTGTAGGACACCTAGTTTGCGCCAGAGAATTCAAGAATTGGTGTTGGAATGATGTATTTGGTGCTGGGAAAAACCAAACAAAGCCTAATGAAGTGAGCTTTAATGCACAGTAAGTGCCTAGGAAATGGGCGCTCCTTTTTTATTGTAATGCTGTTGCTGTTTTATTATGAAATAAAAACAAAATTTAACAAAAATGTATATAGTGCTAGTTACGTGCATGTGGCTCACTTAACTCATTTGCTCCTTATAACAACTCAAAAAGTCAGATACTATGATTATTCCATTAGCCCCATGTAACAGACGAGGAACCTGAGGCACGGGGAGGTTCAGGTACTTGCCGAAGCTCATGCAGCTAATAAGTGGCCGGCTTCAAATCCAGGCAGGCTGTGGCCTGAGTCTGTGCTCCTCATCTTTACCGTATGTTGTGGTTATAATAGGTCTTATTATTATTACTGCAATTTGTTCAGGGAGGCCTAAGTAGCCAAAAGAAGATTCATCAGTCATGGGAGCTGATCAGAGAAAACTGATATCATGTTAAGATTGTCATATATATTTGTTCCTGAAATAAGTACCAGCATTTAAGGGTGTAATAGCTTATTCAGTATTTGGATTATTAATAACCTTTTTTCTCCCAAGAAATGTCCATCATCCCAGGGTGAAATGTAGAAATGTTGAGTGCCGGCGTACTGCTGGAGGTACAGATGTACTTGGGTTTAATTAACTTCTCTTGAGAAAGTTCAACCACTTGAGAGCAAAGTGTCTACAATGAGCCTGTTTCCATGCTGCCAACAGCACTGGACAGTCAGCTCTGTGGCTGCAGAGCGAATGATGAATGCTCCTTGTGCAGTCTCCCCCGCAGCAAGGCTGTAAGGGAACCCTGCCCCTCTGTGTTGGTACCCTGCAGATGGAGGGAGGGCCATGTCAGTAGCCCTGCCAAGCAGTCAGTGCAAAACGCACACCCATTTATCATGGCAGAGCCCGCACAGTGCCAGACCTGCACAGATCTGTAAGTAAAAGGCATTTGAACGTGAGACCCATTGGATCAAACCGGCATCACCAACAAGTAAATGACTTCTTTTCTTTTTTTAAACCTGGTATAACCTATACAGGGCTACCACTTAATCGTACTCTTTGACCCATTGTATCACTTAATCCTTACAAAGCCCCTACGATGAGTGGGGTACTAGGATGACTAGGCGTCCTGGTTTACCTGTGGTCCTGATGCAAATATTGGAAGAGTCCTTTTTTACTTTCCAAAGTGCCCCAGGTTGGACAGTAAATGACATGGTCACCCAAGAACTTATGTTCCTTTTATGGAGGAGGAAACAGGCACAGAGAAGGTGAAGCAGGACTAACTCAGCTGTCAGTCTCCAGTGCCAGGTGCTTCCTGCGAGACTCTTGCTTCTCCATCAGGTGAGGGAGCACATATTCCTCGCAGTCAGTCTCTCTGGGGAACTGGAAACTCGCTGGGGTGACTTACTATTGTTTGGAACTCCTCTTTCTGAATGACCTTCAGAGTCATACTTTTATTTAAAGAACATTTTTGATGGGAGCAAATCATGACCCTGGGAGGATCAATTTCATTTTTGGAAATATCCTAAACACTTTCAGAGCCAAGTCTTGTGAAGAAGGTGGGAAATTCTGCTGGGGAACACCATTTTGGAGCCAAACCAAAGCTTAGTTTGAATTACTGAATGGTTTATTTTTGTATGATTGTTTGGCTGGTGAAATTGGCTTTGAAAATAATTCTCCAAGAGTCATTCTGCAGATGTTTTCGACGGTGACAGTGTCACTTAAAGTGGGTTTAATTCCCTAAAGTAAATTATTTTTTTAAGTCTCATTTTATCATGCCTGGTAGATGTAACATATTGTGTCTAGTCTTTGGTAGCTAAGCACATTTAGGTTGGAATGAGTGGATGAGCTGGCCTAGGTGATTGAAATTCCTGGCCTTAGATGAAGAAAGTAAATCAATTATTTTCCTAGAACTCATATTTCTATTAGTCGAATTCCCAAGCCTTCGTGTCCTACCAAGTGAATTCCAATGGGTGTCATCATCCTACATTTTAAAAATCAAAAGTCCAGGTAACCTGTGTTTGCAGTACTTAACACCTGTCTTTCCTCTTATGATAGTGTTTTGGATGGGTTTATCTATTAAAAGTAATCATTATACATTTTAATTGCACTTTTTAACGTATAAAACAATGTCAATTCTAATTTTCTTTTCTTATTTAATTTGAAAACAGCCAAGGGAATAAAGTGAGTCAGGCTTTATCACTTCGTGTTACAGGTAAAGAAAGAGCGGCCCTAGAGATTGTGTCTTGC